ACCTTGCTCTGTAAGTCTAACAATGTGCTAATTAACTGGCTTCCCATTCCCTCCTGTGTAGAACATCCCCATATTTCAGCAACCGTCTCAGGGCATGAGCACAGGTATACCAGGGGACCCCTTTCCTGCCCCCCATTAGGTCCCAAGCTTGCCCTATGGATAAGGTCTGGATCTCTGGTTTCTGGCCCTCTGACCTGCCCCACCCTGCATGCCTTCTGCCCCAGGTCTTGGCCCTGCCAGCACCAGCTGTTCCCTCCAGCCCATGTCAGGCAGGGGTGTCTTCAAGACTCACAGGTCTCCCCATGGAGACTATGCTATGGAATTCGTTGCATCCTGCTGTCCCCCAACTGGACACTGAAGTCTCTCAGGGAATAGGCAGGGGGGGGTCCCTGTTGTGGGGGGTGCTGGCGCAGTATCTTGGTGATGGTCTCCCTCCTTAACCCCACTTCTTTGGTCTTATTTATGGTGCCCAGTCTGGCCACGGCCTCTAAGACCTAGGCTCTAAGTTGGAGACAAGAGTGGAGCTGCACCTGTGACCCCTGACTGTCACAGCCTTCTCTGGGCTGGGGGTTCCTGGGAAGTGGGGGGCAGCTGCTTGGGTCTCACTGGCCTGAGAGTAAGGAGACCCAGACACACACACAACCAGAGCAGTGAGCTCACCTGGAGGCCCCACACACATGGGTCTCTTACCAGGTCAAGCCTCAAACACAGCCATGTGACAGTCACTTGCATGGGACTGCAACACCCTAGTGCACAGCCCATCCATACTGATGACATGTCCCTATGACACACAGGGAGGCCCAGGCTCTCCTAAATAGTCACCACCCTGGAATACCCTGCAATCCCTGCTTGGGTTCAGGGTTGAGGGGGGTGGAGCAAGAAGACTCCTTCCTTGAAGTCCTCCGTCTACCAACTGGAGCCCAAGTCTGGGTTAACTCCAGGGTTACAAAATGGAATAGATGGAGCAGCACGGCAAAGCTGTGCACTGTCAGGGCTGCCCCTTCCCAGACACCACACCCCATCTGGGGCTGGCCCAGGGACCGGGGTGCCAGAGATGCCAACACCAATAGGAGTCAGACAGACAGCTATGGCCACCCCCCACCCGTTGCCTCTGCCCCATCCCCTTGTAGTGAAGGCCAGAAGCCTGCCCATCACCTGCCCTGGTGTCACTGGCTGTGTTTTCCCCCATTTCCCAGAGGCCCCCAAGGACCTCTCAGGCCACAACCTCCAAATCCCTGAGGCTGAGGCCCTACCTCACAGGGGATATTGTGTCCCAAGCCCATTGCCCTAGGCAGGAGACAAAATCAGCACACACAAGTGGGGTCCTTGGTCTTTAATGGGGTGCAGACCGGGGACAAGCTGTCCAGAGGCGGCAGTGGGGAGCACAGGTCTCTACAGGGATGAGAGTGGAGGGTGGCAGGTCAGGTTGGTGGGATCTTTGGAGGTGGGAAACAAACCCCCTAGGTGATAGTCCCCCAAGGGCAGAGCAGGGTCTCTGGGCTCATCCCTACCCACCAGGCCTGGGCCCAGGGGGTGTGCTCTGAGAGAAGCTGGCAATGTGCCACCCCCTGGTGGCCTGGTCAACAAGGATGGCTACCTCTCAGAGGGGTTGCCCCACCCCCTCATACTGAACCCAAGGGAGCTGGTTCCAAAGGGTCCCACTCTGGGCCTTGGTTTCCCTGCTGACACTGGCAAGGGGCACGCACCGTCTACTCCAGGGCCTTCACCAGGGCTTCATTGGCCTCGATTCGGATTTGGATCTCAGCCCTCGCAGCCTCGTCTGCTGCCCCTGACAGCTCCGAATGTGCCTTCTCCAAGTTTGCCTTGGCTGCCTACAGTAGGTGGGTGGTTGGTGAGGGCCAAATAAGGGCCCTGGTCTGGCACCTGCCCCTCCACCCCCAAAGCCAGAAGCTCTTAGCTCATATGCCTTCTTGGTGCCTCAGTTTCCACTGGGACACTTACCCCCAAGTCCAGCATGTCCAATGTCACAGCCTCTTCAGCCAGTAACTGAACTGATGAATCAGCGTTCACTGTGACCGAGCCGCTGCTCACTGCGGAAGGAGGGGGGATGAGACTGCCACATCTAGGCTCAGGGAAAACCACCAGTCCCAGAATCGGGACAGTGGCCCAACAAGGGTCCTGGAGTACAGCATGGGGGATGTAGCACCTGGAGAGAACACATGGGAACAGGGCCACCAGGGGCATCTGTTGTGGCTGGGCATGGGGACAAAGACCCATCCCTTCACACATGAACCCATTAGCTGAGCAGGGCTGTGTTTGAATCCTGGCTGGCTCTAGCTTTAGAGACGTGCTGGTGGAAGGTCTTAGAGCCAGTTTCTTTCTGCACAAGTTTCCTCCTTCTCTAAGTCAGGCTCCCCTCCCCAACATGTTTTATTTTTTATTTTTAGAGAACATTTATTAAAACTGGGGAGAATGAAACAAGGAAGGGCCTAGGACAGAAGCAGCAACAGGTGCGGATCCAGTGTCCAGAATGGCCTCTGTATCTGCATGGGTGAAGCAAAGGTGAAATGAGGGTCTAGGAGGGGAAATGAGACTAGGCCGGGCTGCTTTGCTCACTAAAATGTAGAGAAGCCCGGCCAAGCGTCACTCAGTGGATGAGCATCGACCTAGGATCCAGGAGATCGACCTAGGATCCAGGAGATCGTGGTTGGATTCCCCCTCCGGGCACATGCCTGGGTTGTGGGCTCAATCCCCAGTAGGGGGTGTGCAGGAGGCAACTGACCAATGACGACTCTCATCATTGATGTTTCTATCTCTCTCTTTCCCTTCCTCTCTCTGAAATCAATAACGATATGTTAAAAAAGTCAGAGAAAAGGGAGCCTTGAGGACAGGGTCAGGGAGTTAGAGCAGAACAAGCTGCAGTTGCCCATTGCTCCCTGGTTGCAAGTCTCGTGGGTTCCCTTAGAGTTTAGGAGATGCATTCCTGTGGAGGGAGGAGAGGAAGAAGGGAAAGGTGCAGGTGTGCTCCTGGGAGGGAGAGCACGCCTACCCAGCACCGGTTTTACTTCTCTTCCAAACCACAGCCAGTCCGGAGCTGAAGGCTGCAAGATGCTTCTGGCTTGCTTTCCACCGTCCTCCCAGTGCCCACAGCACTTTTTGTTGCCATATCAACTGAAATGGGGACTGACTTGCTGCACTGTGCAGCTCTGCCCAGCCCAGTTCTCTGTCCTCTTGTTGGACTCACCAAAGTATTTCGAGGTAGTACCATCCTCAGCATGGACGACGACCAGCCCTGGCCGCAGGACCTGCAGGGTGGGCACGTGGGATGCCAGGATACCGAAGGCTCCCGTCTGCGTGGGCACGTCCACCTGCCGGACGTTGGCGCCATTAAAGAAGACCTGGAGAAGAAACATGGGGAATAGGTCGCTACAGGCCAGTCCCACACCACCGGGATTCAGTCTTCCCAATAGTGAAATGGGCTGGGACAGGGCTGAGTGCCAATGGGAGACAAAGCAGCAGTCGCGATGGGGCCGATGCTTGGGTTTTAGTCCTTGGGCTTCAGTGCCATTATCTGTGAGAACGAAATCCAGCCACCAAAGCTTTTCGGCAGAGATATGCTATAAGGATACCAGGAGTGCCTGCCAGGGAAAGACACCATAAGAGGTGCTTATCTCGGGAGAGCTGCCTGCAGCAAGGGGCAATGCCGGCTTAAAGGGCTGGTCCGGCCCTTGGGCGTCGCATTCCAGGTGGAAGGCCCGGGAGCTTGGAGGAGCCGGATCCCAAACCACATGGGGAAGCGACACAGGTACGTAGTACGAAATAGGAGTCCACAACCTGGGGGTTTGGGGCTCGGATTCCGGGTCTGGAATGGGGATCGACAACCTGGAGGCTGAGCGGCTTGGATCCTGGGGCCGGAATGGGGGTCGGCGACCTAGGAGTTGGGGAGCTCGGATCCGGAATTGGGCTTGGGGAGGTTCGTGCCCGAATCACGCGGGAGAGGGGCGCGGATCCGGGGTCCGGAATGGCGTCCGCACCTGCGTGGGTGAGGCGAAGGTGAAAGACATTTGTCCCGGGCCCGCGGCGGGGGCCGAGGCGACCGCCGCCTCGGCGTAGGCGCGAGCCTGGCGCACGAGGCGACCCAGGCCCGGGCGGCGGAGCAGCGCGGATGGCAGCATGGCGGAGGCGGCGCGTAGACCGAGTAGCTGGGGTCTGGCGGAACCTGGGTGGCCTAGAGGGCGAGGAGGACGAGGCGCAGAGACGCTTGGGGGAAGAATTAGTAGCGAGGGCGCACGCGCGAACGACTCCCGGCTGGCCGCGCGCTGCTCCGCGGAGTGCGCGGCACGCTGGGGGTTGTAGTTTCCTTTCAGCTCCAGTTCCTAGACCGCTGGCGGAGGGGAAGGGGGCTGGGGGAACCAAGGTTGGCGTTGTGTGGCTTGTGTGGCGCCGGGGTGAGAAACGGCCGTTAGAAGGTTCAGTTAGAAGGTTCTGCATGCAAGAACTAACAGCCTGTGCGAAGACCAAGAGGTCACCGTTTGCATTCTTGGTCAGGGCACGTGCCCAGGTTGCGGCTAGATCCCCAACAGGGAGCTTGCAGGAGGCAGCCAATCCATGTTGATGTTTTTCTCATCGATGTTTCTTCTCTCTTTCTCTCTCTCCCCCTCTCCCTTCTTCTCTCAAATCAATAAAAACATTAAAAAACATTAAAAAACAAACAAAAACCCTGCGCGGAGAAGACACTTAGGTTGAATTCAGGATTTGGGGAGCGCTCATTGGATGCCAGGAGCTGGAGAGACATTAGAGAAATACCAAGATTCTACCTCTGGTGTGTGTGTGGGGGGGCATTTTACAGACGTTCAGCGTAATAACTAAACAAATCATGAAGTATGCTAGAAGGAGACATACTTTATTTTTTAAAGGAGCAAAAGGGGGGGGGAGGGAATGAGTGCAGAAATCCCGGAACAGCATCCTCAGGCAGAGGGTCCGGCGCAAGCAAACACCGGCGGTGCTAGCACGGCTTGGCTGTAATTCCCGCGAGCGCCACAAGACGACACCCCGGTGTCCGGAGACGCTTTAGTCGCAGCCCGGCCAGTCCGTCGCCCCTGCGAGCTGCTGACGCACTGGCGCCTGTGTGGTAGGTCGGGGGCTCCGCTGACATCACCGCGGTCTGCGCAGCCTCGCTCGTGGCGCTGACGTCACCAATCCGCCTCCGCGGTCACGCACGCAGGTCGGCGCACGGGGCCGAGCTCCCAATCCCTCACCTTGGGCTCCGGGAAAACGCGGAGTCCGGGTTGAACCGGAACGGCCTTTGTTGAGGACCAGAGGGATGCAAGGTGCAGGGGAGTGGGTGTCACTCCTAGGCCCAGGGCACCTGCTGCGGAGGCTTCCCAACCCTAGGGGCTGCATGAGTCCTAGCTTCTTACAGGGCCCAGGCAGACGCTGTCGCTGCGCCCCTGCCTCCCAGCATCCAGACCGAAAAAGCCTCCTCCGGGCTCTGGAGGTGGGGAAGGCGTGTGTTTTGGGAAGCCCTACTCACGTTTCTCGGGTGAGTCATGTGATCTTGTGTGCAGTCCGACCTCTCCTGGACACCCGGACCCCACAGGGAGGCCTGATCTATCTAATAGGCTTCTCAAACCCATCCGCTGGACGACTTCTTTCCAGTCCCCATTCCAGCGTGACTCATGGGTAAAGGCACCACCTGTTACTCAGGTCCTAAACCTTGAGTTACCCTGGAATACCCTGGTGGAACCATAGACAGGGCCTTTCCATTCAGCTTGGACATTGTGGCCATCACTGGTTTGGATGGTCTCAGCCTCCTCCCTTAGCCTCACCACAGGGGGCTTCATACACAGCCAGAGGTACCACGTTATTCCCCTCCTAGGAACCACAAGATGGTTTGTTTTCCCTGCTTCCTCAAACATATCAATCTTCTGCAAACACACCTACCTACCTCAGGGCCTTTGCACATGCCATTCCTACTCACCTGGAGCCAGCTTTCCTGGGTTATTTATCCACTTGGCTGTCGCTTGCCCTCCTTTAGTGGTATCACCCTTTCAACCAGTCAATAAGTATGTTTTCTCCCGGGTGCCAGCCCTGTGCTATCCCTGGGGAGCCAGAGGTGAATGAGCTCCTGCTCTTGGAGCTCACTGTGTAATGGGGTTAGGAGTGAGTAGAGACGAAACACACAGGAGTTAGTAAGGTCGAGAGAGGGCCATAGCAAGAAACAAAGTGCAGCAAGGTACAGGAGTGTAGCGTGGTGGTTGTCATGTTAGTAGACAGCCAAAAGGAGAGGCATGGAGGCTTTGCTATGTGGGAAGTGTTGAAGGTGGGAAGGAGGGTCTCTTGCGACTGAGCTAGGGAAGAGGGGTCTTGCCTGGCACCTGCGAGTGCAAATGCCTGGAGGTTGAATTTGGGCATAATTGAGCAGTGTAGGCTTTCCCTGGTAAAAAGATGTCCTTGTGGGGCGTGGCTGGGATGGGACCCGGACCAGACGGATGGCAGGTTGGTGGCCTAAGCATCTAGAAGGACAATGTGCGACTTTCAGAAGGAGAAAAGGGGGAACAGCCTTGGGGTTTGCCAGATATGGGGGTTCTGCAGGGTAGTTCTGATGTCACCAGCGCTGGGCAGGCCCTGGTGGTTCTTTTCTATTATCTTTGTTCGTCTCAACAAGGCAGGGCCCTGACAGTGCCGCCCTCACAAAGGAAGAAAGGGAGGGCAGCCGAAACCCCTGGGCTGTGCACCTTGGGGACCCCCATACTGGGGGAAGATAAGGAGGGGGAGAAGATAAAGAGGGGGAGCCTATGCACCCCAGGACCCCGGGTTGGGGGGAGTCGTGCATTCCAGCATGCCTCCCTCATCCCCACCCTTCGGGACGCAGGGAAGGGTCGGGAAGTCATGCTGCAGGGACTGGGGGCGGAGATCTGCCGCCGCGAGAGAGGGCGGCTCCGCGTGGGGAGGGGGCAACGGGGAGCGCAAGCTCCGCCCCCCCCGCCCCCGCCGGAAGGGAAGGGGAGGCGGTGGCCAGTGCGGACAGAGCCAGACGCAGCGGCAAACGCGGTGGGGGCTGCGGGCCTGGACCCGGCGGCACCCAGCGGGTGGGATAGGGCTCGTAGCCAACGCGGTCACGTGAGCGGCCCCTCCTTTCTCGCCGGCCTCCCCCGCGCACCGGGCTCTCCATTCATAAATTCTCCTCCCGCTCC